TATATATATATATATATATATAATAGATGTTATATATAAATAATTATTATGTTTTCTATATATAACTGATTACTGTTTTTCCTCTTAATAACAAACTCCACCATTTTCATAATCTTTAAAATCACACTCATTACTCTATCTTTATCCTTATCTAACTAGAATCTTTTTAATCCTATCTTTAATGTTCATATTTATTTTCTACCCTTCCTTTATTTATAAAAATAATATAATTTAACTATAAGTTGCTTTCTCCCTTGAATACAAATTGCAAAATGTGTTAAATTGCATTTTCCGATAATTTGCTATTTACGTGTAAGATAATAACTAACAAATTTTATATACATTGTACAGTTCAAGTTAAAATTAAACAATTCCAAAACCGCACCTTTATATTTCTATTCATTTTAGACTTTGAAGTAGTTTGAAATTTAATCGAGAAGTTTCTATTCCAAAGATTTTATCAATTTAATCCATGTCAACCGTTCAACATGTTAATTCTCATAACAATACAATTAATCCCATACATAATATTTCTTTATCCTTTCCTTTAATCATATAAATAAAAGCATAAATTCATACATATAAAAAATTAACCTACATTATATAAATTCATCTCATAGCACTCAATTAAAGAAATTGAGAACTTATTATGAGAAAACAGAGAGCTTAGTAACAAATATATAATTGAATTATTCTTTTATTAGTGGTCTTCTAATATAATATTAAAAAAAAATTCTAACCAACTTTTTTTTTTACATTAAACAGATAAGAAAAAACATATTTACATCAAAGTATTGTAAAATGTACATTATTAATGTGTAGTATATATTTGAAACACTCACATTAACATATAAAGTGCAATACGATGAGAGGACAATAATGATAAACTAGTTAACCATAAATGATATTATGAAGATGACAAATATTAGTAATTTGAAACAAAAAATTAAAAAAAAAAGATGTTTCTTTTATCAGATTGAGTGGCTATTATTGAATAAATTAAATCTATCAATCTAAATTTTTTAATTAAGGATCAATCAATAAGAATAAATAATTTATATAAGACCCATGTGTCTATTTATAAAAGATTCCTTTATATTTTTTTCGTTTTCTAAATTTATACTTTAAATAAAAAATTAAAAATTAAAATAATTATTTTAAAATTTTATCGTTTTTTAAAATTTAACTGTTTTTAAAATTTGACCGTTTTTAATTATAAAAATATCTATAAAAGGAATACAAAACTATTTACAATAAACTTATAAAAATAATTTATATTTAATTTCATAACTATAGCCATAACAATAATAATAATAATTTTATTATTTTCTATTATTATTGAAAAGTGGAACACTTATGTTTTCACTAGTTTTAAAGGAAAAGAATAAAGCTTTTAACTCAAACGAATAATGAAAAAATAATAATAAATATGTTTAAAATAATTTTTGTTTTAATTTTTCAATATTTCTTAACTATTGTTCTTCATTTTCATGATTAAATTACTAAAAAAACAATTACGAATACACTCAAATAAATTAGTTGATTAATTTAAATTGACCTAATTTCATTTTCTGAATCTTTAAAATAAATAATTTAAATAAAAAAGAAAAAGTTACGTAACAATAAAAAATTGAATAATATTTATATAACAATATAAACAGTATAGATAAACAGTACTTCTGTTAATATTAGATTACTTTTTATAATATTATAACTTATAATTTTTTACGATTATCAAAATTATCTTCGAATTTATTATAATAAATTAAAAACAAACCAACCTGCATGATCTAATGATTGTAATCGTAATCCGTTATCATAGTAAGTCGTTACTATATTATTTGAGAAAGATATCTCTTAAAAGAGATAACAGATATAAATATACCGGTACAAATTTAAACCCTAGTTTACCTTATAAATTAAGTTCACCTGTTCGACATTTTTACACGAATTACTTCTCTCATTCATTCAGTTCTACAGTTTTACACGAATTACTTCTCTCATTCATTCTTACTTCCGTAGAAGCTTTTCAAAATGGCCGGCGGTTTCATTCAAGGTGGTTCTGTGGAAAAGAACTATCCAGGAAAGTTAACTTGGAGAGCTTTTATGACCTGTTTTGTAGCTGCATTTGGTGGGTTGATATTTGGCTATGATCTTGGTATCTCAGGTATGTTTAACATATGTATCTAGAATAATGGTATTATGATACACTTTTACGTTCATTTAACACATACTATGATATTTATGGTTGTTTTATGGTTGTTTTGTTCATTACTTACACCAATATTTATAGGTGGCGTGACTTCTATGGATTCTTTTCTGGAGAAGTTTTTTCCAAAAGTGTATGAAAAGGAGAATAACATAAAACCCTCCGACAATCAATACTGTACATTCAACAATCAAACATTGACGTTGTTTACATCGTCTTTATACTTGGCCGCCTTGGTTGCGTCATGGTTTGCATCTTCCATCACTCGACTTTTTGGGAGACGCCCTACCATGATTATTGGAGGTGTGCTGTTTCTTATAGGTGCTGGATTCAATGCTTTTGCACAACATGTTTGGATGCTCATCGTTGGTCGCATGTTACTTGGTTTCGGAATTGGATGTGCCAATCAGGTAATATATCTATGTATTTCTATATTTACTTTTATTCAATTTTTGATAAATTATAATTAACAATAAAATGAGTATTAAAAATTAGGTTAAATTCTTTTCTTATATTTTTAAAATTAATAGATTTATTTATGTTACGTAGCCCGTGTGAATAATAACACTAAACATACGCTTATGATTATAAATGACGATTTTGTGAGGCGTTTTCTTTTTTATAAATTATTTGTTTTAATTATATTAATCAATTATTAGATTTAAAATCATACGTAATTTTAAAAAAAATAAAATTAATGATTTAGATAAAGTAAGGTGTTGTGAATTATTACTTTATATGTTATTTATTTAATTTTTTTAATTAAATTTTTTTTTGCAGTCGGTTCCAATATATGTGTCTGAGGTTGCTCCTTGCAAATATAGAGGAGCACTTAACATGATGTTTCAATTGGCAATTACTATTGGAATCTTTGTAGCCAATGTTCTCAACTACATTTTTGCTAAGATGGAGAATGGAGAAGGGTGGCGTTATAGCTTAGGCTTTGCAGCTGTCCCTGCTATCATGATTATCTTTGGTGCATGTTTTCTTCCAGATTCACCAAATTCTTTGATTGAGCGTGGTCTTGATGAAAAGGCCAAAATTGAACTTATCAAGATTCGTGGAACTACAGATGTGGATGAGGAATTTAAGGATCTTGTGACAGCAAGCGAATCCTCTAAGAAAGTGAAACATCCTTGGCTTTCTTTATTAAAGAGACAATATAGGCCTCAACTCACATTTGCTATTGCCATTCCGTTCTTCCAGCAACTTACTGGCATGAATGTGATAGTGTTTTATGCTCCTGTTTTGTTTAAAACCATCGGTTTTGGAGCCAATGCTTCACTTATGTCTGCCATGATCACGGGAGGCTGCAATGCAATTGCCACTCTTGTCTCCATATTCACCGTTGATAAGTTTGGAAGACGAACTCTTTTCTTGGAAGGAGGGATACAAATGTGTTTTTGTCAGGTAATATCTTTTTATAACACTCTTTTAAGATTATTTTACTAGTATAATGTGATTAATTTGTTGTTTTAATTTGGTTTGAAACAGGTTATGATAATGTTCGCAATTTTGTGGAAATTTGGAGTTAAAGGAAACCCAGGAATTTTGCCAGAGTGGTACGCTATCATGGTTGTATGTGGCATATGTGTGTATGTGGCAGGATTTGCATGGTCTTGGGGTCCTCTAGGATGGTTGGTTCCAAGTGAGATTTTCCCTCTTGAAGTGCGTTCGGCTGCACAAAGTATCAATGTCTCAGTGAACATGATCTTTACCTTTATCATTGCCCAAATTTTCACCACAATGCTTTGTCACATGAAATTTGGATTGTTCATTTTCTTTGCATTTTTTGTTGTGGTAATGAGCATCTTCATTTTCTGTCTTTTGCCTGAGACTAAAGGAGTTCCCATAGAAGAAATGCACGTTGTGTGGCAGAGTCATCCTTTTTGGAAGAAGTTCGTCAAACCAATTGATGCGGGTCCTAATCGTGAAGAGTGCTAGGAATTTTTTTTAATATTATTGTTAGTTTTTTTTTATTATTTAGAATATTGTTAGCTTTTTATTTTTTTATTTTATTGACATTATAAGTTGGAAATATTTTTAAATTTGACTTCAATAAAAGTATTTTAATTATTATGTTGATAGAGTTCGATTAAATTTGTGGTTTAACATAATTCAATTTTGTAACCCACCTTAACAACAAAACTAAAATTCTATCAACATGTTTTTGCTTTGTTTTGATAATAATAATTTCTCGATATTAACAATATATATTAGTTATAATATTATTAAAAAGGTAAAATTAGAAAAAAGAAATCGTATAAGATGAATCTCATCATTAATGGATCGATTATAAATAATAAAGGAAGTAAATTTTTTTTAAAAAGAAAGGTCAATCTGTAAAATATTCTTTTCGCTTTCAGTGAAACCGACTGTTTCCAAAACTTTTAAGGAAGAGACATTATCATCCATTTTTTTTTTCAACTTACTCTTCCTTTTACTAAGGGACAAACATAAGTGAACGAAAAGAAACTGAAAATAAACTAGTGCACTTATTAATTTTATTATTTATTTTGATCCTTAACTGAAAATGAAATTCAATTTAAATTGTAACAAATTGAAATTGAAAATCTCAGTAATTGGCATAACTAGATTTTGAGGAACAATTTCATTCAACGAAAGTATAAAACTGAAACTATTATTAGAGAAGTTTCTATGCAGTCCAGAAAAGAAGTTGCAGTTACTTGAAGAACAATCAAATTCTAATGCAGTCGATAAAAACCAAAACATATAAACCCCTTCAATCAAAATAGCAAAAATTCCAATAGGATACTCATGTCTTCTTTTCTAGTTTAAGCTTGCTTTTCAAGAAGCTTATCAATCATTTCAGCAGCATCTTGAACGGTGGTGATGCTCTGGGCACTGTCTTCTTCCACAGTGATACCAAATTCCTCCTCGAGTCCCATCACAATCTCAACCTGCACAGATCGAAGAGCAAGTACAAAATCAGCAAAGTTAAGCCGCGGATATTTGTGTTTTGACGTGTCACACAAGTACATAGTTTAGCCTCATTCGGTGGGTTCGGCTGGGATAAAGGAATAGAGGTCAGAGATTTGATTCTCATCTTAAAAAAAAGATAAACAAATAAATTTAAGAAGAAAATGGAATTGTCAAACATGATATAGATTATAGAATAAAGGCGTAAGGCTACCAAGGATAAACAAAACTGAATTGCTTAAACAAACTCGGGCCTTCAAATTCAAAGAAGCACACAACAATAGTTTGGTAAGAACTACATAGACAACTTCAGGCATTTTATCATTAACATTGAACAGAGTGCTCTGCACATTTCCAGTACCCACGGTACCTAACTACTTTTCCTTTTAGATCAGCAAGTACTTAAGGAAAATGAGTAATCACTAGACACCTTCTAAAAGAGAATGATATTCATACACATCGTCATATGTAAAATAGTGCAGTGATAAAATATGTAGGCTCATATGTCTTTACAGAGAAAGGTGAGTATATAGTTCAAATAACAAACAGGTGGTAGATACAGTCAATTGTTGTAGAGAAAACTAACAAATTTTATATATTTATTAATATAACAATTTTATTTCAGAGTGTGATTTATACCACGAAAGCAATGCATAGATTCATAGATTGATATTAAAGTACCGTGTCAAGAGAATCAGCTCCAAGTGCAGCAAATTTAGACTCTCCTGTAACAGTTGAATCCTCTGACAGCGCTAATTGCTTCTTGACTATGTCACACACCTTCTGCACTGTCTCTGGTTTTGCCTGCATGATAAAAAACTTCGATGGTTAAGTAATCTTCCATAATACAAAAGTTCGTGCGACATAAGCCAAAACCTTTTTATGGATATATGTAGTTTTAAGCACATAATTAGAAATTGCGAGCATAAGGCAACATAGATAATTCAATATTGAAAATACTGTGAATTTTAACTACTTAACAAGCGCATCTGCCCCCAATGAATAGTTTACTACAAGATCAATCAAATTTCAACAGCAAAACAAGCTAAGAATGAAGTCTGTATTCTCCACAATCCAAAATTTTTTTAAGCATTTAGAGTATTAAACAAAAAGATTGAAAAATCCAGAGTAAATCAAGTCAGAGGATTCCATTTCTGGGACAATGGTAAAATATGGGTTTTTGGCTGCAAATCTTACCGCGCATCTAAATTGAAACCGACGTCCTCTGGGCTGCAATGTAATGGATGGGAAATTTCTCCCGTTAATTGAAAGGGAAACTGAACTTGGGTTGGAGGTCCTGGTGCCAGAGACCTGCTTTAATCCAACAAGAACTGAGTCCAGGCAATATAATATAATTAGAAGAAACCGTAAAATACTACACAAGAGCAGTTTAGTTTTTAACATTCAGTATGTTTCTACCATGTATAACTGAAACTCATAAACAATGAAATATTTTATTTACAAAGGCAGATTGGGTTGTTGAGGGAGATTTTGACTAGAACATAGGAATAATGTTAAAAAGAAGTTCTAAGACAACTAAACAAATTAAAAAAACATAAAAGAACCAGGAAGCTAACATAGCATTGCTATAAAATATATAAATTTGGCTCTCTTAATCAGGATCTGGTATTTGAATCTAGTGAATCGAAAATATATGATTGAGAAAAGAAACCCGAACAAATGTAGTAATAATTTGTTCTAGCAACATGGTGAAAAAAAAAATGCCCATTTTAGAATATGAGTAACATGGTTGTTGAAATTGGTTTTGAAGTGAAATGATCTTATGATGCTTTTCGCCAAAGTGAAACTCTGAAAAAAAAAATGATTTTGGTTGAAATTAGTTTTGAAGTCAAATGATCCCTGTATATGTTTTTATTGTATGTACAACTTCAGCAGTAAAACTTATCATAATTTTTTTTATCCAACACAAACATTTACCTGAGATCACTTTATATGATATTTCATCGTGATTTTATACCAAAAAACATGCATACAAAAACAAATCTTCTGTTGAAATAAAGTATAGCATACTTGCATAACAAATAGATGATAAAAAGGTAGTGTGTTCAAGGAAAATAAGTCTTGGACCAAGTTCGATCGACACGTAAAATCGTCTATGAATTGTGAAGGTGATGAAAGAATATTTAGTAAACTTATATATCACCATAAAAATAAAGGCATGCAAAAGCAAACGATATCAAATGAAAGAAACAGATAGCTTCGAACATTAATCAATTGATCAAACAGATTGAATACAGATGAAATAAAAAGAGGAAGAGAAGAAATTTGAATATTGCTAGACATATATATATACATATATATATATATATATATATACCAGAGTTTGATTGGAAAGAGCAGCGAGAGACATGGAAGATCGCATGATGGAAGCCATTAGAGACACTGAGAGAGATCTGGATCGAAGGACGTAGATTACTAAGTGCTGAGCGTTTCTTGTTGGCGAAAGGATGGAAGAAATGGACAAGTTGATGGGTGTATTTATAGGAAAAGCATGTGAAACAGTGTTAACTGTGTTCGCTTTAAACCTGACTTCGTTATTCACGAGGAAAGGCACGTGGGAGTTGGACGAAAGAAGCTGTTTCCTTGTTTGTTCCAACCCATCTGGGTTTCTTTTTCTTCGTTTGGTTCACCAAGCTAACATTCATTCTCCTGCTAAGTGTGTATTAATTGGAAAGTATTAGAAATTGATTTAGAAAACAGGTTCCTTTTTAATACATAGTTAAAATTTATGGAAAATTATTAAACTATTATTAGTTTTACGCCATATTTAATAAAATAATAGTTTTAATTTTGTACATTTTAAGAATGTGTATTCTTTACACTTTTCCATTTGAGTTTATTTACTAAACTTAAATGTATGTAAGTACTTATGTTAACTATAACCAGCATTGAAAGAATATTATGCTTTGAGATTGAACAAAATATGTTTTACTTATTAAAAAATATCAATCACTTAATATATTCTTAATTACTACTAATGTTAATCGTCTCGAGCTAACTGTGTCAGTTTAGATATCAATGCAGATGTTATTACTAAAAAAGAGACAGACCTGATGTGTGTTTTTATTTTCATTCTCTTTCACATTTTAATTTTCAGGGATTTTTTTTTAAATCTTAAGTTAGTATATATAGTAAGAGTACATACGGTTTTACCATTTTATATTTCACAAGTTTAAATGTTAGATATATATTTATCATTTTATTTACTAAATTTATAGTGCTAATATATATTTGACTCTTTAAAAATAATTATAATTAAAAAAATCACATAAATATAGGGATTACTACACATGCAAACTCATGAATAATTGAACATTTATTTAACAGATATGAATTATTGAAATAAATAATTATTTTAAATTATGACGATTGTTGATTCAGGCGTGAACATGTGAAAATACAGTTAAATGCGAAATTCATGTGAGACATTATTCATCTTGAATAATTTGATTTAAAGTTAGATGGTGTAATTAGTAAAAATTGACGTGACAAGCATAGCTAGTTTCTCTCGTGATTTCCGCAATCCTTAGGGTTAGTTCTTTCTTCATTGCTCTCTTTTAAAACGTATGGTGATCGTTTTTGTAACAATTGAGACTTTGTGGAATTTTATATTTCAACCTTCTTAACTATTTTTCGTATTTTCCAAATCGCATGACTTGGTTTATGCTGGAGGCCAAACACGTCTTTTTCTATTTGATAACAGCTTCATTTTAAATTATTCATCCAATAATATTCTTAATTGTGGAAGAAACCTTTGTTAATTTTTAACTAATTGTGATAGACCCTTCATTAAATATTTGGTTACTAATAAAAAAAAAAATTCCGACCAAGTGAACATGGTTTTTTCCTAAATCCAGAACATCCATTAGTATATGCATAACACTTTGTATGCACCGTCCACAACTGTTGTCAGTCCACAGCATCCATGGCCCATTTCCTGCTTCATCAAGAACAACCTCTTTCTAAGCTATAGACAACCTTTGTTGTCAAATTTGAAAAAAATAAAATGACACAAATTTATATTTATTTACAAATTTATATTCATTTTATATATGTTATAAGAGGTAAAATAATTATAAAAAACAATTATTTTATATATTTTTAAGAAAAAATAAAAAACAAATATAAAAAAAATTATGTATATCAATTTTCTTTTTAAAAAATTAAAATGAATGGACGGTTGAGGTTTCATAGAGATATCAGGATTTGGACATCTAACACTTCCTTCAGCTATATCTTTATTGTCACTGTGTTTAGTTCCCTAGTGATGTTTATTTTTTTCCTCATATTTTCTTATTCATTGTTTTCTTTTTTTTTTCATTTAAAATACTTAGTTATAAAACATTTTTTTAAATATTGATGTTCAGTTTCATTTCTATTGACTAGTTTGTGAAAATAATAGATAAATAAAGAAAAGTAATGAAGGCAATTTTGAAGCTTACAATATCTTGATTAAAGGGTAAAGAGTTTAATATATTTTCGTCCACTCAATTTCTTTATATCTGAACAATATTTTAATATATTTTTTATATTTTTATATGTTATTAGGACCACAATTTAAGTTTAACCCATTTTATAAAACATATTTATAAAATAAATTATTTTTATTTTTAGTTAATATGAGATGTTTAATATATTTTTTCACAAGTTTATGGATAATTAAATAGTATATAATATAATATTCCTAACAAATTTACTAAATTAGATGCTAATATAAATTTAAGTGACTTACAAGATAAATATTATTTTCACTTGTGTAAATTAAACTTATTTATAATTTATGTAAAATTTCTAATATTAATAAATGTTTTAATAAAATATATTATCAAATAATATGATTAGTAAATAGTTTAAATGTCACATTCACTATTGAATTATTTACCACGTCATTCTAAATATTGAAGGGAAAGTGATGCCTAATTTTTTTTACTTTAATTAGGACCAATCATTTATCAACTAGTTACATTAAAATAAACGGTACAACATTCACACGATTATACCGGAATTGAGAAATTTCATCAAACGATTTAATCGTAATAAGCTAATGCTCACAGAACATTTTTTTTCTTCCATAATTATAATTATAGCATTCTCTTAAAATTTTAACAAAGTTTAATTATGAACTAAATATAATTTTTCTTACTTAAAATTATTCATATGATAACAATAAGTGTAAGTTCCTCGAAATTATAAGGGCTATTGGGTCCTATTTTCTGAGGTAGCCAGGCCCAAAGGGTCAAAGGCACCATGACCTTAGAGAGAGTCTAATCTTTTTCAACTCCGATCTCATCATTCAGTTTCTCTTTCTCTCTCTAAACTCAGTTTTCTCCTTCTTGCTCTGCCTTCTCTCTACCCTTACACTCATTTGAACCGTCGCATTTTCAATTAGGTGGTGTTCTTTCGCTCACGGAGTTGAGGGATTCCTATCCATCCGATTAGTTTTCAATTTGGACGGGTAAGTCAGTTTCTCCACTCTTCTTGAACCTAGGGCATGCAACTTTACTGGTTGCATGAAACTAGTGGTGCTCCTTTTTTATTCTCTGCCTATTATAGCTCTAAGAGTTGTTTTCATCACCATTTAGGTGGTTTAGGACACCGTTTGGGTTCTCTCTGTGAAGGCACGGTTAGGACACTCTAGTTGGCTATACTGCTCAACTTCAAGGTAAGGGGAGTTAGGTTTTTCTTAAAGTTTATTTGTATGAAATGTGTAAATGTGTTGAACCTTGTGTGACCATGCTGTTTGAGTTGGAACTGTGTTTTTGAGATTTTATGTATGAACTGTATGATGAAAATTGGTGACTGTGGTTTTGGTTGGACTGAGTAATATTTCAAATTTGATATGTTTAAGGTTTGGGTTCTGTCAAAGGAGGGTTAGATGGAAGGTAAGGTAAGTATGCACTGTTTTGAGTAAATTGGTAGTAGTCCAGGTCAATTTAGGGGAAGTGACATAGTGATTCTGAGTAACAAAGGTCTAGGATGAGTTTACAGTGTTGAAACAATTTAGAGGGATCATTTGTGACTTATTGAGAGCACTTTGTTGGTAGGATAGAGGAACCTTAAAAACCTGAGTTGGCACATCCCTGATCATAGAGCAGTCCTGGCCTGGTCCAGTCAGTTGTGACTAGTCATATGTGCTGGCGTCGAAGGTGAGTTTGATGCGTTCAGACATTGGGTTCTTCTCTGGTGACCAATTGGGCAGTTGGGTTAGTTTAGATGAGTTAATGGAACTGGTTAGGAGCCTAAAACTGAGTAAAATCATGTTGAATGTGGTAGAATTGAAATTGGGTTCTCGGGTTAATGAAAGTGGAGTTTTAAGTTAAATCTGAGTATTGTTCACCTTAGAACCATGTTAATACAATATTGTAATCAGCTAGACAAGTTCAATTAGGTACACAACTTGAATTACAAGCCTAAGAAGTTAGCCAAGAGTCCTAGAAATGGTAAGGATTAGTGTGAGTGTGTGATTCTGTAGAATTCGCATTCTGCAGATTATACAGTGTCGCTATGCGAGTTGTCTCGCATATCGAGACCCTGTAGAGGGTGCTCACTGTCTTGGTAATTCGTTGTGCGAGCCGGTGCGCTGTTCGAATTACCAGAGGGTGACGCTCACTATTTACGGACTCGCCATGGCGAATCCTGTCGCTATGCGACTGGTAGTGGTCTGGGATCACTGCCCATTTAATTCGAAGGGCGAGTGAGGCGCATAACGAGAACTTTGGGGAGGTTGATCTCTGTCTAGGTTCTCGCATAGCGACCTGGGTGCGCTATGCGAGAGGTTTGAATTTTGATGTGTGCTGCGACTTAATTCGCTATGCGAACTAAAGTGTGCGTTGTGCGAGATCCTCCTGTCTTGCCTTGCGAGAAGGATGCGTTGTGCGAATTCTTTTGGGTCAAACCTTTTCTTTTGCTCTCTCTCTCTTGATTGATTCTAGTGTGTGAAGTGTTTGGGATGCATAAAGTGATGTGATCATGTGATTTATGTGGGAAGTGTGTGAAAGTATGGGATGTGTATGGATTCGCTGTGATAATATGATGGTATCTGGATATTCATGTATGGGTTAAGTTTCAAAGTAACAGTACGGTTCATGAACGTAATTCCATGATCCTCAAGGAGAGGATTCATGGTGGTGCCCTGGTGGTGTGTAGAATGATTGCATGGTAGCTCAGTCTTGGGGGTTTTCATAACGCTCAAATGGTCTTTCATTCTCAAGTAGAGAGGATTGATCCATGTGGTGAGGAGTAGCAGTATGCTCCAGGGCGCGGAACGGACTAACCTCGTGAGTGTGGTAGGGTGGAACCCATTGGCAACGGCTTTGCAAAGCAATAGAGGCCACCACGAGTGCATAACCCGTCATAGCTCGGTAATCATTCTAGTCCGGATGAGTCGGTCTTTAAAGCAACGAGTCTTGTGATGTCATTTTACCATGTTTGAGTGACTTTTGCATGCCATATGTGAATGGATAACATAATTT